ATTGGGGGGGGGGGGTCAAACGCATCCATCTAGACTGAAAAAAACAGTGGAACAGTAGAGCAATGGAATAGAAACAATATTCAAAAGATGGACGGCCTATTATTAAGACATCAGTCCCAATCTAAAGTCATTCCTTCTAACCCCGCTGGCCATAATTTTTGAAGGCCTACTGCAATCTAGTTTTGTTTTTAATATTGTAATTTTACTGGGAATATATCTCACTCAGGAACTTACAACCCTGTGACTTTGGGGGTCTTCACTCTGGCATATTTCTTCCTGGCTGTCTGGACGTATGGTCTGACCGTGTCAGCAGGAGTGTTCATCCCGTCTCTGCTCATTGGAGCAGCCTGGGGCCGACTATTTGGGATCCTTCTGTCTTTCATTGCTTCCAGCCAATCAGTAAGTACAGCTTTCCATTTCTCTGCTTCCAACACCTTTTTTTTCAGATACATTTTAATTAATCTTAAACTACCAATTTAAGAGAAATAGAGCTAAATGAAGAAAGATTAGCTGTATTGTGCTGCTGACATGTTTTCTTAACTGATAGATTTGGGCGGATCCTGGGAAATATGCTCTAATAGGTGCTGCGGCCCAGCTTGGTGAGTTATTGATGTTTGTGTCAACTAGACATTCTTTAAGAAAATGCAGCAGGAATGCTGTTTTATGGTTTATAATAGTTCTCCTAACTGCATTTCTGTGAAGGAAGTACATGTCAGCAGTAACAAGCATGGTTTTGTTGTGTTAATCTGACAGGTGGCATTGTCAGAATGACACTCAGTCTCACCGTAATCCTGGTAGAAGCCACCGGGAACGTGACCTATGGCTTTCCCATCATGCTTGTGCTGATGACTGCCAAGATTGTGGGGGATTACTTTATAGAGGTGAGAAGCAAAATACAGGGTTTAAAGTTCTCCGGCACCGTGCCGGATATCTGGCGTGCAGCGTTTGGCTGCGGAAAAAAATTTCAATTAAATTCAAGTTTATTTGTATAGCGCTTTTTACAATACAAATCGTTGCAAAGCAACTTTACAGAAAATTAAGTTTCTACAATATTTAGTAGTACCTTATCAGTGTAAATAATCCTACATTAAAAAAAAAAAAACTTGTTTATCACTTTCGAGTCCATGAGTTCGCATACCAATGGTATGAGTTGAGCACAGCTTTCACTCTTAACCAAACTAACATTACTAGCCAATCAGAATTTTTTCTCTTATAAACACGAGACGCGCATAATGCTGTAGTATCCAATGGACCCTTTTCACAAGACTGTGATGACGCGTTTAACGGTCATCAGTATCGTAAATCCTCGAAAGTTTTTCAGATTTGTATTTTTTTTTAAATGCGTGTACATTTATAACACTATTCTTTGTATTATATCAAATTTTCATCAAATTGCAAAAAAAAACAGTTAACGCTAATGCGAGGGTGTTTCTAATGCAGCGTCTGTGGGAGGGACGGTAAATTTGACATCGTTCTCTCTTCTTACTGCCATCTCTCAATTTTTTTCCTTTTATTGAAAGTCACGAAAACACTATCGTGGAGTTTTTCTTTTGCTATTTGAGCAAATGGGAATGCAAAAAAATATATTTGTGGTACTCTCCCATTCACTGCTCCTCAAGTTAAAGTTCAAGGTCCTGTTCACACATGATCTCTTGATGGTAACTTACCGGTAATTTACCAGTAAAGACTGTATGTGTGAAAGGGGCTAAACTCGTCCTCTGCATATGCTGTGAATTTGAATTGCTTAACGTTCATCTGGGAAAACAGTGTGCATTATCTCACTAGATTTGTAACATAAATCATTTAAACCTTTGCCAACACAGTAGAATACATCAACCTTTTCCTAAATATGCCATTTATTGTATCGCAATTTCAAAAGAAAAGTTTCTGAGTTTGCATGTGGCCAAATATTAAAATTAAATGGATTTAAACATCGTTTAATCACGCTTGGCGCCCTTTGCAGGTATTTGTTATAATACATTATGTACTTAAGTTGATTATGTTCATATTATATGTATAGGCATATTACATTATGTATTTTAACAGTGTTGTTCAATAAAACCATGTAATTACTTGGTTTTGATATTTTATTTGAGCCAATCATTATTGCCTCATCATTAGTTTATACATAAATAGTCATACTAAAGCCTGGTTTTCACTTAGGCCTGTTTGTTACTAAAAATATCAGATTACTCAATTGTCAAAATAATCAGTAGATTACTTGATTACCAAAATAATTATTAGTTACAGCCCTAGATTAGTTAAAATATTTCAAAATACAACTGCATTGTTTTACTTGTTGTAATTAAAAGACAAATATTTTGTCATTGAAAATTTCTTAAAAATAGTATTAAAATATTGTCTTGTTCTAGTGAACCAAGTATCTTTATTTTGTCTCATCTCGTGAGCTAAGTGTATTGTCACACCTCTAGTGTCGATAAGCAGTGATATAGCTCTTAATTTTCCAAGTGTATTATATAGCTTTCATTCTTCAGGTCAGAAGATATATATTCATGAAAAAAAAATCAGTTTGAATAAGGAAAGCAATAACTTTGCCATAGTATCCTTTCAAATGATAAAGTTGCCACAGTCATTGCATGCTTTGCATGTGCTGACCCATCCACCCCCCTTGCCCTGCCCCGCACCTGGAAAAACGTTCAGGCTCAAGATTGTTTTTTGCTTTAACCCCTGAAAATACCTGGCATGGCTGTTTTTGTCTCCTGAGAACTGGTGATCGGTCTTTCCAGGAGTTTTTGATCTGTGTGTGGGTTTTTTTAAGGGTGTCACAAAGCTTTTAGTCATCATGCATGCCATTTTTGTTTTGTGTTATTAAGAGCACGAAGCACGTGTGCGTTGTCTGACTGGTTTTTGTTGTTCGTAGGGCCTGTATGACATCCATATTAAGCTGCAGAGTGTTCCTTTCCTCCACTGGGATGCTCCTCCTACTTCTCATTGGCTGACAGCCAGGTAACCACATCCATCAGCCTTACATATCATATGATGCTTTGGGTTCCAGGTAATTCATACAACCATGCAACTAGACTTGTGCCGGTATTCGGTGATGCGATATATCACGGTAATGAATATGCACGATATTGTTATCGTGGGCACTTCTAAATACCGTGAATAATTATATATTACAAATTATTCAGAATTTTGAATGCATTTTAAGAATACTTTTCCCATCAACTGGTCAAAATGCACAACACCGCTGTATGCTGCGTGAAAGACGCATGCGCACTCTGATGTAATTAATCATTGACGAGAAGCACATGGCGGAACATGTGAGAGATGCTCTGGATGAAAGCGCACTTTCACTCTCTGACAGCAGATGGCGCTAAACTGCAGAAATGCACCCGTTACCCCGGAAACCCTGTAAACAAAGCAGCTGCACTATCTGTTTCTGAATCGTGTTTAAATGATTTAAACAGTTATTCAGATGTTCATCACAGCGCCAAATACTTAAATATTTAGACTTGAAAATCCACTTAATATTAGCTACACATTCAATGGCACTCTTCTCTAAAACAGTGAATATACAGTTATATGACAGTTACATGTAATTACATTGTCTGCAAATGCATTAAACCCATAGAATAGAATGTAGTAATGTTATGGCAAATATGACAAATTAATTAGTGTTATATTTGGTCTCCAAATCGTAAGTATAGGTTTAGGGAATAGTGCATCTGACCCATATCTAAATAGTTCTGTCTTAAATCAGAAGATATATTTATATATATATTTCAATCCAAGTACACAATATATATATAGACCTATATGACCACATGAACTTTAAGAATCATACGCTTTTTTGTTTGTTTAGATCGTTCGGAAGGGTTTGACCAAACTGTTAAACTAGGTTATTTACAAATCATCCAAACACCCGTTTCATTTCTAATATTATGACTAAGTAGTATTAAATTGTAAAGAAATTACAGATCCATCTTTGAAATCTGATTGGTTGATAACCTTTGACAATGTTTAATTCAGGTGCGAAAAGAATTAATATCTATAGCGCATGAGCACAGAGAGATTTGAGAGTGCACAGGACACAGTTTGAGTGAGAGGAGACATGTTTTAAGTGTGTGCACTCTCTCCCGGGCGAGAGCAGCGTCTATCTGAGTGCGCGCGTCCGGTTTTGTGCGAGAGCAAAGGAAATCCGCACGCGAGCAGAGCGATTCGCGCTCGCGCATTGTATTAATGTGCTTTCGCGCTACAATAATGCGCTCTCGACATTTGTCATTAAAATAACGCCATAGTATGAGTTTCTTGCTTCTGTTGAACACAAAAGAAGATATTTTGAAAAATGTTAGTATCTGAACAGTTGATGGGCACCATTGACTTCCATAGTATTTTTTTTTTCCTGCTATGGAAGTCAATGGTGCACAGGTTTGGAACAAGTGGAGGGTGAGTAAATGATGACAGAATTTTCATTCTGGAAGTGAACTACTCTTTTAAAATGCATATTTGCTGAATGACTACAGTATATGTAAAAAGTATTATAGTATCTACCTTTCAATTATTAGACAGAACTGATGAAGTCTGTAAACTAATGAAGATGGAGAGTGATTGCTCCTGTCACACTGAGCGCATGCGTTCTCAGCACTGTCAAAATAAAAGTCCCGCTTCCAACTCATATCAGCCAAACAGAATTATATGGCAATATATTAGTCAACCAATAGTGTAATGCAATATTGTTATAGTTTACTAAAACTATTAAAACTGTTTTCATTCATTTAAATAAAATAAAGTATAATATTCTATTAAAAACTTTAAAAACTTTAAAGAAAATTATAAATGTTGCCTTTGCAACTAACTGAAATAAAATAAGCTGAAGTTACTGAAATTGTTGAAGTAAAATAAAGTAAAATAACTAAAACTGAAATAAATATAATTGAAATATATTTTTTAATGTTTTATGTTTCTATTTTTATAAATAGAAAAAAAAAAAAAAAAGCACATACAACATTACTAAATAAAAGATATTTCAAAATATTAATAAGTATTACAATATTATATAAATAATAAAGTGAATGTCATTTGCATGTTGATGTTTTCACCACAGAGAGGTCATGAGCTCTCCGGTCACCTGCCTCAACAGAGTGGAGAAAGTGGGGAGAATTGTGGATGTTCTTAGCAACACATCCACCATTCACAACGGCTTCCCAGTGGTCGCCCATACTAGTGAGAACGATGAGGTGACATAACCATGAAAACATGACCTCAGGTCCTGTCATTCCTACTAGCATATTTCAGTTTTAATCAAATCTAAAACTTGCTTGTCTTCTTTCCACAGCCAGGAATAATCTGTGGACTTATTCTTCGCTCCCAGCTCATTGTTCTTCTCAAACATAAGGTCTGAAAAACTGAATTATGATACTTTGGTTGGACTTTAATCCTCATTGGTCAGGAAATACTGTTACTACAGCAGATTGTAATAGTTCAGCCCTCTGTCTGTGTCTCAGGTGTTTGTGGAAAGGGCGTCTTCACGTCTCAGCCAAAGGAAGCTACAGCTGAAGGACTTCAGAGATGCATATCCACGTTTCCCCCCCATCCAGTCCATCCACGTCTCTCAGGATGAGAGGGAGTGCATGATGGACCTCACTGAGTTCATGAACCCGACCCCATACACTGTGCCTCAGGTCAATTAACTGGCCAACAACCGCCTACTGACAGTATTTTTGTATTTATATGCCATTTAGGCAAGTTTATGGGAAATTGATAATGCCATAACGATCAGAGCTTTAAATAGAACGCCGCTGCCACACCCAGTTGAAATAACTCACAACAATCCTTGCGTGACATTTACAAATTAACTGTAAAAACTACCATCAGGAAGTGTATTTCAGTTAGCATGTGGTTTAATCAACTGCAGTATTAACTGTCTAGTCTTTGATAGTGCTGTGTTCGATACATCGATACGACGATGTATCATCACAGAGATTTGACGCTACGAGTATCGATACAGCTGGTCCTGTATCGATATTGTGGCACATGTGCAGCAGTGGACCGCGCTTAATTTGAATACAAGAACACCGTTTAAAATTGAGTAGAAAAGTGCTAGGTTTCTAAAGGTTTAATCTGGCCGCAGAGGAACACAACTGGGTTGCCTGATATAAAGAGACGTAATCCCCGAAACAGAGCTTCCCACTTGCGCAATACGGAAA